AGCTGCTCTTCGATTTCACGAACGCGAGAGTGAGCGTCCTCAGCTTCGGCTTCGAGCCTTTGCTGCTCGGCACGGTGCTTGGCGCGTAAATAAATGAGGGTGCTCATTAACCATCGCACCCGTCTACCGTCCTCCGGTGCAAGGACCGACACTTCCGACTGTACAGGCGCCATTTCCTTTCACTTTGGTCAGCTTGTCTTTAACTTTGGCTTATTGCATCTAGAGCAACTAGAGCGTCACCAACAAATGAATTACAGCGAAAACGCAAAAAAATAAAGCAATTGACTGCAACATTTGGTTAAAACTAACTATAGACACTTTTTAGAGATCAGGATCTTGAACGAACGTATTTAGCCTACAGAAAACTTTACAATTAGTTTTCTTCAGAAAGCAGGCGCTATCATCATCATGGCGCAAAATGTCATTCGAAATGTACGTGTAGCACGGGCTTGAAATGTAATGTCATTCGACGCCCGAATGAGATTCGCCCTGAATGGCATTTGCCATGTAAGTGTCCCTCAAACTTAACGCCGCCACTCGGTTACACTCGGTTACGCAAATATTGATCTATTGCATGCTACCCAAAGATAAATTGGTCGCTGCAGCTGCTCGAATACCTTCCCCTGGTTGGGTTCTCATCGGGGACGCGAATGTTCAACCAAGTAGTTCGACCTCTAGGTTCAGGAATAGCTCAACAAGTGAATAAACCGGACGATCTAGTGGCGGCGTTAAGTTTTAGGGGCACTGTGTGGCACGGGTATAACATGACGTTTCGCCGCTTGATGAAGTTGGTAGCCGTTTGAGCACTTTCCGCCACACTGCTAGTTTTAATTGCAGCCTTTAAATTTTGAGATAAAAACCGGAAAGACTGGTGATCGTTGTTTCTTGCTAACTCTGGCACGGCATGCCTCCGAAAGATTTTTTTTAAGTTGAACACAGTAATAATCTTTACTGCACCGAGTACCTAATTGTCCGAATTCTATTTTAGAAGCAGCGAAGTTAAGGATTATATTGTGGAGAGCAATGAAAAACTCTCCAAAACATTAATCAGATTTCTTTTTTTTTTCTTGTTCAATTAATATTCCATTCTTTGCAATATACTCAATGCATTCATCACAGGGCTAGGTGACGGAAGACCTGGGACTATCTCAAAGGACAGCAACTCTGTGTCCAAGTGGCTATCAGCTGAAAGTACCTTTGATGCTGATCTCGTCTAACACTAATATGAAATAGCGTTCTTTCAGTGTAAATTCCCGCACCGTACAATACAAAAAGCACGTTGCAGAGTACATTCCGTAGCTACCTTTTCACGCACCAGTATTCGCACTGACGAACGAGCGTGCACGCCCAACAAAGGTAGAGACAATTTTCCCCTCCTCTCAGTTTCCACCTGAGGGCGCACTATGTAGAAGTAGTGTAATGGACGTACAGCGCCAACCTTTACCACATCCCCAGTCGCATGGAGGAAAAACTAAATTTCCTCCATTTTGTCTGTCTTTTTTTTTTTTAATCATTGATTGCATAAAACCTTTACGTTACCGACGAAATCACAGGACGAAGTTATTTTCATTGATGAATGCCAGGCTATTGAATTGTCTTAAGCAAGCAGCTTGTTTCCTTCTTGGTATTATTGAGTCATTGAGCTGAATTCTTGTCTTTCTTTCTTTTTGTATTTAAGAGGAAGTCGATGTGACTACAGGAGAAGCGCGCACCAAGGTCACATTTTAGTAATTATACCGTATAATAACTTGTCGCAAGCATCCTTTCGGGCTTTCGTAAATGCATAAATATCAATTTTCAGTATTAACTATCTTTTGACCTCGAATGCTCCTTTCGACAAACTTACAAAGAGACACAATCTATCATTTCCCCCGAGTTACAACTATAATATATATTGACACAGCGTACGCTGTAGAAGACAGCGCAACATCTTGCGGATGGATTCCGCAAGAGGTCTGCAATTCTCACTGCAAAGATGCCTGCGTAAATTATGTCTAGGGCGCCAGTTGAAAAACTGAAATTACTTGGCGTATTAGTAACAACTATTCTTTCCCGTCACATATTAGCTTTCGACGTTACTGCATTTTTTATCGGGCGAAAGCAGAACCAGCTATCTGATACTCCATCGAAAATATTTTGGAATATTAATAATCATATTCACTTGATTATTATGATTATCTGCTCCTGCAACCAGTTGTTTAGATATCATTGCGTGCTGGAAACACAGTGGTGCCAGAAACAAACTAGACAACGGGTCATGTTTAAGGACGTTCTTGCTGACAGCCGCGAATAAGACCAACGAAAAACGAGCTGACCAGAAACACAGAGCGTCCACAACTTCTTTCGGTAACTTAAAAGTATTGGTTGTTCACCGCCACAAGACGACAGGAGACAATTTCGGCAAATGGGGCGACAATTTTGTTTTTTAGTAAATGTGCGTATAAACAAATGACGTTGCTCTCGCAAAAAAAAGGAACGTGATACCAATTGTCGCACAAACAAATGTGATAACCCCAACCCGCCGGCACGTACACGATGAAAGAAATTATCCATCCTCATGGGCTCCCATGACGATTTTCAATTACTATATGTCACAAAAACGCGGTAAAAGTTTTCTAATTCCTATTGGCACAATGAACGACTTGCAGCACGTATTATAACTTGTCGATAAGAAATTCATTGCAAACTGTCGCGTGAGCAAAAATGGACAGGTCACGCCTCTTCCAGGGAGAAGCGCGCCTGTCCAAGTCTGGGGCGACGTCCAACCAGAAGGTTTCGTTTTCCCGGTAACAGTTGAGAGGCACAACGAAGTAAGAACACGGGACACGAAAATTAAAAGTGACAGAGGGCATCCTTGCTTGACATAATCGTACCTTCATTTCATCGGTCAACTCTTCGCTTATGATAAGCTTTGTCGTACTCTTTTTGTATGCCATCATTGTCACCTCCAGAATGACGGCGCCAACATCGGCACGCTTTAAAACATCAAAAAGAAAGACATGTTTTACACGATGGATTTCTTTATCTAGGAGCTTGCCTACTTGTCCTTTGCCGCCGTCGCATGCCTCCAAAACACTACGCGCGATATTAAAGTTTGTTGTGATCGCTCGTTCTTGAGTTCCATATGTTTGATATGAGCGAGCGGACAACACCGTGGAAACGACGTGCTAGGACTTTCGCAAATATCTTATAATCGACGTTGCACGTAGGGATGCCACCTTTCCCCGAAAAAAAAAAACGGGCCCTTCGACGGGGGGGGGGAATTGAAATTGTTTTGAAGGGAAGATGCCATGTTCGTCTTTGACAGGCAGTGCAATTTATTGTAACGAATGATTTCCTAGAGAGGAAATAGTATAATGTACATGTACACAAATACACAGCACTGAGCTCAATATTATGTGCAGTTATATGCCCTCTTTAGTGAAAAATAAAGACATTGCTGACTAACTTGCCGCGCACAGCAGATGGAGAACCAACTAGTCTGCTCTTTGGCATAAAAATATCAGTGATATCATATATCATGTGATATCAAAATATCAGTGATATCAATGTGTAATATCAATATCTTTTAGTACATTTGTACTAAAAGTGACTGAGGTTTGTTTTGCTGCTCTCAGAAAGCATTACGCTCGTGTAGACTGAGAGCAAATCCATATCTTTTTCTAAAGTCGCCAGCTCGGGGTTTTGGACGAGTTGATCACGTCTCTTCAAATCAAATCAACTTCATTTATGGCCTTGAGCCAACGGTGCCCCAAAACAAAAAGCTACGCAGCTTGACAAAGTGTGGTACCCGTCTCCAGTTTGGTAGTACGACCAGAAAACCACATCCACACATCAGCTACGTACAACGGGGAGTATACTCTATGCGATCAAATAATCAAAGCCACCTCTTTCAAATAAAACATTTCTTAACATATGTTAAAGAAAATACAAAATTCACATAACGTTATGTGACAGACACAACATACTACCAGATACAAAGATACAAAATTCACATGACCGCTTATGACAGCCATAAAAACAACATACTACCAACACAAAAAAGGTAACATGAAGTCTCGCCACTCGCCGACCCCTTTCGAGAAATTGCAATTACTGGCTCCCCATGTGCGGCACTGAAAAATAACCGCACGTACTTCGTCCATAAAATGCTCTTTGCGACTAAATCCATCCAACCAGTGGCATATTACGTCCGTTAAAAAGTATACAGTGCATATGCCACAATGTATCGGATATTATCATATATACATATACGGGCAATAATATGCAATACACAAAACAACGCAGAAAAACAAAAAAACGTAACATTTTATATGCTCGCATTTTTCTATTTGCGGAACTTGAACGTATATTTCGAATTCGACTTAGCTGCTCGGATGAGCTGCTTGTTTTCTCTTGCCATCTTTAGAAATTCTTCACAGCTGTACACCAAATTATACCGCGCACAGAGCTCCGCTTTAACCATTGGGACGCTTAGCTGATTTCTCTCATCCGTCCACAAGTTCCCCATCACGCTAAATACACGTTCAACAAACGCGTTGCTGCAGGGAATGGAGATAACATGCTCCATTAGGCTCTGCAAATGGGGGCACCTGACCTCCTTCAAGAATTTGAGCCAGATCCAGCTCGATTTCTCCTCATGTTCTAGAAGTCCAGGGAGAGTATCCCTCAAAAGACAAAGCTCTGAGTAGAATTCATCGCCTTCCTCTTCAAAGTTAATGCCAAAACGCTCCCCCGTATTCATTACGACTGACATGCTGGGTGCAACTTTGCGCAGATCCCATTCCGCGAGCCTCTTAAATGGGGAATTCTCGAAGTGAAACCAGTTTTCAAGCTACGCACGGGCCCTGTCATAAACATCCACAAAGTCCAGCGTTATAGCCTGTCCGCCCGGATGGGTTTCAAGTCCCTGATTAGCCTTGACACGGTTGAACATGTCATCCTTCCGGTTAATCAGCTGCTTCCTGAGCTTAGTCATTACAGCGTAAAGTTCTGTCGGCTCAAGATGGACTCTTTTCGAGGGTGAAGATAGTTGAATGAAACATTGCAAGGAACGAGTGCTCGAAGGGCAGATAGCACTCCGGAAGCATGATAAACTCCGAGAGTCCATCGGCTCGGTTGCCAATAAATATCCAGATCATTTTTCCCCACTCCTCCTCGCCCTGACTCAGAAAGTAAGACTTGATGGGAACCCAGTTCTTAATCAGTCTGTCTAAGGCCGTAAACAAGCTTAACCAACGGACAGAAATATGACCGAGCACTTTGCTATATTCCTGATCACAGAAGTCAAAAAACGTTTTCAATTCCTCTACACATTTCGAACTAGAAGAAAACTCTTTGAAGACCTTTAGTACAAGGGTTTCCACATCAAACTTTAAAGACTTCACTGCGTGCTGGGCAGCGTTGTGCATTACATGGCAATTACAATTAGCGTTCAACAAGTGCGGCTGATCTTTCTGCATCTTCTGGAAATTGGAGTTGTGTTTCCGATCATTCACAGAAGCGTTATCCGTGCTATACGCTACAGCTCGCTCTAAAGGAAGACCAACCTTCTCCAAATTTGTTGCCAAGAGTTCGCAGATGCCGTCGGAAGTCTCGTCCGCCTGCTCACAGAAGTCGATGAGAGCGTCCGTTATTCCGGCACTATTCACGTCGTAGAACCGCACGGCGATGGGGAAAAGTTTTCTATTTCCCTTGTTGGAGGCGTCCGTGGAGAGAGCAAACGGAAGGTTTCGGCCTGCTTGGCGAAGTTTCTCGGCTATGCACTCCACTGAATAAGGCGCCAGCACATCTTTCACGAAGTGCTTCATCTTCGTTCTTCCAAGTCGCATTCTGCAAGCGACGTCTGAATCCGGGAAGAATTTTGACGCTAACTTGCTGGCACAATCTATTGACAGGGAACTGTAGTTGTGCTTGATGCCGTGGAATATGGTGCCCAGTTCTGCAGCGGTCACCTTATCTTCTGCGCTAGAAGTCGCTGGAGCGAAGAACTTCGTGAGCGCAGCCGAGTGTTTCAAGGCGATGCTCTTCTCCTTAAGTTTCTGCCTTAACGCGTGATGCTTGACAGCGCTGACGTTATCAAATTTCGCCGTAAACCTGCTTGCGCATGAAGTACATCTTGCAGCGGTGGCATCGTCGTCCATGGGCAGGAGCCAACTCTCATACTCGGGTTGAGATCTCCAGTCTTTCCGGAACACGCACTGACGTAATTTTCGCTGTTTCGAAGGCGGAGAGTTCGTGCTCATGATACAAGCAAAAAAAGCGCGTAACCACTGATGCAGATTTTCGCTCTCCCAATGATCAGTATACTTGAAGGGACCTTGCTTCCAGTATTTATGGGCACAACATAAAAAGTGGTTGACAAATAGCGTGGAAGTTTTGGTGATTGACGTCGGGAACGCCTCTGTACAAACCAATCACATCGCTGCGCACGGTACTGCCCTTCAAGACCTAATCTCCAATAGGATATTGCAGAAAATAGATAGCTTTGCCCTCGGTTCCGCCTCAAACCTCCTCTGTGTTTAGCGTCCCCTTGGAAAAAAGACAGATACGTCTCTCGGCACGTAATTAATTTATGGCAGCCATTTGGAAATAGTTAGAAAGCAAGCATGAACATAGCAGCACCTATCGACGCTCTGAAAGAATGCCGAAAAAACGACAATGTCGGCGTCTTCCTTTGATCGTCTGCGATGGCTCCACGGGCAGTGCACGGTAGCACAGAAAATGAATCAGCACTCTCCGTCACTTTGGAACGCACGCAGGCCACCAAGTAACTCCAGCTGCGAGAGCCGCGCATCCCTTCCTAGACATCGTCGGCACGTGTCTGGCTTGGCACTCAAGCAACTAACTTTGAATACCCCCTTATGCTCGCACAAAGCTTTCCGAAGGGGGAACGAATAGCTAGAACAAAAGAAAAACAAATATGGAGGTCTGAAGGGAAGGGAAAGTTACTTTTGGGGACACAGGCAGCCAACAAAGTGACAACAGCTGCGAAAGACGCTCAGCTCTTCCTAGACATCGTCGGCGCGTTTCTCTAGTCTTGGCACTTAAACAATTAAATGGCGAACGAAGAGAGGGGGGGGGGGGGGGGGCGACGAGGATCTAAAGTAACAACAACAATATTGCACCATGTGTAGTGGAAGGGAAAAGCTTGGAGAAAGCGCATGCGGCCGCCCGTCACAGTGGGCGGATGAAGCGCCGTGCGTGTCCTTGTCAAGATGCCGACAATCGTTAAGAAAGCCAACACCTCCCAGAGGCTGTTATCGGGGGGGCCTGCCGCCGAGTTGCTTGCTGGCGTTTTCTCGCCTTCCCTCATTTTCCTGTTCCAGCCTTCCACCGCGCTCCCCGGTGGTCGTTTCGCTTTGTGTCGACCGTACCCCCCTCCCCCTCCTCTCCTCCCCCCCCCCCCCCCCCCCCCCCCCCCCCCCCGTCTCAGGGAGTTGTCCTGCCGCGCTTGCCCGCGTACTTTCTCTAATCGCGTGCCCTCATGGTGTTTGTGTAATTTTAAACCTTTTTTTCCGTCGACAAATATTTATCGTCGTAGTTGTTGAATTGTCGCTTAAAAAACGCCAAAAAAATAAGCTAAAAGCAATCGCGCTTCGATGCCTGTCAAAAAACCGGCCAATGACGGCCGTTCTTACCTACAGACCGGCAACAGGCCTGCTGTGTAAAAAACCGGCCGGGCCGGTCAAAAACTGGGCAGGTGGCAGCCCTAGTTGCACAGCCGTGATTGGTCGATAATCTGTAAATTTGCGTAGCCTTCCTACGTCCTCAATCTTAGATATTAAAGCAGTGTACGCTCGCGCAAACGACGGCACTAGTGCGTTACGTTTGTACGCTTCAGAAATGACACGAAACAAAACTTCTGCGACTATGTTCTTAAACTTCGTAAAATTCTGCCCCTACCCCGTCGGGCCCCGGTGTTTTTGCATTTGGCAAACCGTGAATCTCTCTCTCGCTCTACTTCCTCAAGCGTAATAGGCTGCTCGCGACTTTCCTGTTCGCCTTTACCTAGACTCTCAAAAAGCTGTTCATAATGGTCTACGAAAGCTTCCTGAATAACCGCTGGGGTGGTGCTACTCACTCCTTTGTACTCTATCGCCGCGATTTCGCTACGGAGGGAGTAGCTTTTTGTCCTCCGCGCTAAAGCTCGCCTTGTGGGCTGTTCTCCCGACAAGTATTTTTCCGACCGTGCTCGGACTATGGCGCCGCGGTACCGTTCCTGATGTAACTCCTCCGGTTGGGTTTTAACGCTTTCTAGGTCCTTAAGACCCACTCCTGGCCTTTCGCACTCCGCCCTTGACAGCGCTAGCAAATTTGCACTCAGTTCCCGCATTCTGCAGCGCGTCACTAAAGCCAAAGCGTAAGATCTTTCGACTGCAAGCATCTTGATCACGTGCTTCACTAGTTCCCAAACCTCAAAATTGTCGCCCTCCGTACATCTAAACACTTTTCTGGAAGCTGCATTTACTGCTTCCAGAATCGGCTTCTTAAGCAGCGTTGCGTTTAGTTTTCAAAGGGTCCAATTGATCTTTGCCTTCGAAGCGGTCTTTCCCCCGATGATGGTTAACACCAGACAATGGTCTCTTAACCAGACAATGATCTGAAAAAGCACCGGCGTGTCATGGCACTTTGTTAAATGTGCGGCTGCAGTGGCGGAAACGTACACCATCTAGTCAGGCATGGTACGAAGCCTGGAAATGGGTGAAGCTAATCTCGTACAGTTCGTTCCTCACAGTACCGGCTTCCCTTAAATCAAATTCCTCATGTAGGTCGCCGAGTACGGTCGCGCTCCTTTCTATGCGTTGCCTAGACGGCGATCTATCTATTCCTCTGGCGAAGCAATTGAAGTCGCCCAAGAGCATGACCGTCCTATCACAGTCTACGAAACGGCGCTGGCGAGCAGAAAAACGTTTCTCACCGTACAGCGAGCATGCGAACAAATAAGCCACTAGTGAACTGCGGAATATAAAAATATCACATAAAACGCCCTTCTGTGTCGATGGTGACTGCCAACTCCGACAAACGCAAGGACTTTCTCAAAAAAAGAAAAAAACTGCATCCCGAAATACCGACAGCGTGCGTGACACAAACTTCGTACAAGTACAAAAAAGGTCTAATGCGCTGGCTACCTCCTCCTCAAAAGCCATCTTGGTTTCCGGCTATGGTAAGAAATCAGGCGTGTCGTTATTTAGTAAACGCTGCACTTGAAACTATATCTTCCGAGCGCAGAAGCCTCGAACGTTTAGCGTTGCAACCTTAATGACTGTATCGGGCGTACAAATCATGGGCGCTTCTGGCGCGGCACTTGGCTTGATGTCTGCACTGACGGCCTTGAATAAGGCGTTGCCGCCTTACTGGCTGTCCCGCGGGGCCGGTCGTCCGGGACGATGTTCGGTACATGTTTGTACCGGCCTCGCTCGTTCTCCCAACACGGGTAAGTAATGGGATCCATCCCCGTAATCGGGGGCGTCTCCTCGAAGCCTCGTTTGGGCGATTCAGATGCCTCATTCAAGACGTCAGCGTCCTCGGTGGTTTCCGGAGTCCGGGGATGACGGACGACAGGGGGTGGGCGAGGCCGCGCCGGACACTGCCGACGACACCACAGAGCGAGAAGACCGGAACCTCCTTCTCGAACGGCGGGGGCCACCTTGTCCTCGCCGTTTGCCGCGGAGACTTCTACCGAACCACCATCTCCGGCGGGGTTCTCCTGGTGTTGTGCAGACATTTTGGAGTGATGCACAGACGGTTTGGAGTTGGATTGACTGAAAGAAGCGCTGGCGCCGACGCTGACCCGTCTCGCCGTTCGTCGCAGGCAGGAGAGTGAGGTGCGTTCTCCCGAAAACGAAGCCAAGACACTTTGCCATCAATACCCCACGGGGACCACAGTGGCCAACGACTTCGTCATGACATGTCGCATCTATCGCCTTCGCTGTACTCGGGATTAAGTATGTGGTGTATAGTACATAGTTTAGTATATACATTACTAGAACATATCGTAACAGATCGAAGCCGACTGAGCGTATGCCAAAATATGTATACAACACGGAAAAGGTTGCAACGTTTGTCAACAAAACATCACCGTCACTCCATAAGTCATTGCATTCATCGTTGGTTGTAAGCCCTCCAAGAAAAAATCAGATTACTACCGAAGATTGCTCGAAATGCATTTATGATTCGCTGTCCCGAATAATACACACGGTGCGAAAACTCAGACCTGCTGCGCCCTGTCGCTTTCCAGGTTAACATCCAACTACAACGTGCGGGTGGTGGAGACGTCGGGCAGCGGAAACGCGTCTATTGCCCTTGTTGTTCTCATTCAGTTCGCGTGTCATTTAATAGATGGCGCGATAGTAAACGCTAGGGTAGAAGGATCTTTGAGCTTGTCCGTTGGAAAGTGAAAAGCCACATCATAATAATCATCATCACCATCATCACCACCAGCCTAGTGGGGGCTCCCTACGCCGATTTGTGGACGGTTTTCATCCTCCATTCAAAACTGCACGCGGGCCGTGATGTATTTTGGCTGCACTGCGGGACACCTGACTCGGTGGCTGTGCCGCCCAATGAAATTCGCTCTAAGTGGCGGAGCCGGAGTAGGGCCTTTCTTTTCCTTTCGCCGCCATCTCCTCATTGCCAGAGAAAATGTCAGATCCGCCAAATTTGACTTCATCGCTTGCGGAGAAGCGGCCTTGGGGAGTGCCGGGCCTGGGGCGGGACATATTTTTCTCTCTGCGTTCGCGAAAGGGAAGTGTTACAAGGAACTTAGACGAACAGGAAGCTCCTTGAACCTACCGACATTGTGTGCGTCACATATACAACTGCGTTCTTTTGATAACACAACCGCTGATTCAGAGCGGTCGTGTACAAGAAGACGACACGACGACCAAAGACGTATGGCGCACGCGCACTTTCGAGGGACCCTGAAGACGCACGACGGAGGACACGTGGTGCCGCCGGCGCATGCGCAGTAAACCGCAGTTTCTTCTAGCGGCCGTCGCGTCTCCTGCAAGTTCGACGGTCGCTTTCCCTGCAATATTTGGAGTTCAAACATTCGAGGGAGTCACGGTACTCTGCTCCGCAAGCGGAGCGTATGTACACCTACTCGAGGGAAACGATTCTCCCCTCGCAATAATTAATTCCATAACTTACGTAAATTACTTAAAGCGGCCCTGCAATCCTACTTAAGCTTGTACGTCTTTCGCGGTTTCCACATTTCTTGTGGGTCGGGCAACTCAGCGGGCAC